GTTAGGATTAAGTTACGTGTGTATGAATAAGCGTGTTTTTTGTTGTTCACATCTCAATCCTTAAATGATCCTAACTCGTGTATGGAAGGTGTCTCCTCGTCAAAGCACATTTGTGTTCTCAGTGTGGGTCCCAAGGAACCGAAAATTTCCCCGGGGCTCACCAGTCTTCATAGACAGATAACTAACCAAGAGCAATAATTCAGGTTTTGCATGCCCCTTAATCCAGTCCCTAGTCTTCTGCTAGCCAGGTGCTTCTGAGTCTCCAAGAAGTGTCTCTCCCCGCAAAGAGAAGTCTTTGCCTGTTTACACCACACACACACACACACACACACACACACACACACACACACACACACACACAGATGCTCCCCCTACCGGCTTTTTCTGAGGAGACACCATTCCCACGTGTCTTCTTGGCCTTTGTACTCTCTATACCCAAGCTCCCAACTCTGCAAGATGGCCAAAGACGTGCCAGGTGCCCAAAGCAGCATCCGACTCAGAAGGTAAGAAGCTAGTGGGCTCACCAGTACAAGGGAGGCCTGCTCCAGCAGCCCGCCCGCCGTTCCCTGGGTCCTAGCACAGTCTAGCGTGCGCCCTTCAAGAACGTGCTTGCGTCTGCTCCCCTGTCTGCCTCAAGTCCAGTGGCTCTGGGAATGGGGTGTGCACCCCTCTTCCATCATCCACACAGGCACACACATCCTCTTTCCAAGGAAAGTTGAAGCCCCCATTCAAATGAACTCTTCTGAGGCCTTCCTTACTATTTTGCCAACCATGTGAGGGTGTGTGTTCTGGAATCCTGACCCGAAGGAATCTCAGTTCCTCCTCTTCCTTTTGTCTCGTGGCCAGGCAGGCCCCAGTTTATGTAAAGTTCTCCTTCACGTGATTTTGCTCTGGCCTTTCCTTCTGTTTGCCGACATCTCTTTCCCCCACACCCTGGGCTTGGCATTACTAAATCTTAATATGTTTTCTTTTTAATTCTTAAGAGAACTTCATACAACATGTCCTAATCACATCCAGCCCCAGGCTTCGCTTCAGCACCTCCCAGAACCCACCCCTCAACATACACTGCATTTATTTGGTTTGGGGTTTTGCAGGTTTTTTTTTTGTTTTGTTTTGTTTTGTTTTCCTTTTTCAGAAGCACCTACACAAGCAGATGTCTTGGTCCTTGAGCTCTTAGACTCTCCCCATCCCCTCTCCCTCAACGTTCCCTGAGCCTTAAGTGTAGGGATCGTCTTGTAAATGTAGCAAACCGAAGTGAGTGTCCTATTGTCAGTTGTCACTACATTTTGACCAGTTATGCCTTTCTGGAATGATCTCTTTGTTTCAAAAAGAAGCTTCTTCGACAAGGGCAGGGGGGCAGAACTGCCCTTTCCTGTGTGTGGTTCTAAGGCTAAGTATTTAAAATGCAGTTGAAATATACCAACTCAGGAAACTAGCAGTAGTAGGTCCTCTGAGTTCCAAGGCCTCACCAGCCACAGGTAGTTGATTTAATTGACAGTGTTAGGCAATGAGTCCCTCCTTAAGTCCTTAACAGGTGGCATTGGTTACCTCCCAACAGAAGTGCCACTATTGCGCCTTTCAGAATCCCTTGCCATTGCTGTGATTTGTTGGGGCTACAGCTGAATAGGAGGGCTATTGGTTGCTTTTCTCTGATGGCACCTTGCATGGCCATCATCTTAGTCAAGGTACTAAAGGTTGCTCAGTAATCAGGTCCACTTTCTGCTAGTTTATACTAAAAACTGTTAGCAAAATAATAATCCTTTCCTTGAATATATGGGTTTCTTTTTATAGTATTTGACTTTCATTTTACCATTCAAGTATTAATTATGATGGACAGTGTGATCCAATGCATCCATCAACCAGAATTTATAGTCATGCATCTACATGATGCCTAAATGACTTTTGTGAGCTTCTTCCCACGACTTGTTTTGAGTCTAAATTTTATCATCTGTAAAATGTGATGAGCATCTTCCTTGTAGGATTGTTAGAAGAAAAAAAGAATGGAGAGGAATTTATTTTCAAAAGTAAAAATATAAAAACTCAAGAACGTCTTAGAACTCTGTACTATCATGATCAGGCTGCCTGTGACTTTTCAACCTTTTCTCCAATTATTCCTTCTTCCGGTTCTCCCTCTTTGACTCACCACCCTGCATCTTGCTCTCAAAATAAGTATTTCACTTCTAGATAACTATAGTTTCTTTAACAGATAACCAAAAATGTCAGAGCTTAATACAAGAGGAGTTTATTTCCTAGCTGGGTATGGTGGTAAATGCCTATAATCTCCACACTTAAGAGGTTAAGAGAAGATAAAGGGGTCAAAGTTCAAGGTCAGCCTGGACCACATAGTGAGTTCTAAACCAGCCCAGACTTAGGGAGAAACAGTCTCAGACACTAGAGAGAGAGAATTTCTCGCTCACTTAAAATCTAGCATAAGCATTTCTCATTGACAGTTTCTCTTCCAAGTGAATTCCAAAAAATTCATGAACCTTCCAACTCATGCCTTTATTGTCATTAGCATGTGGCTTTCAGGATCACGCCGAAGAAGAGTGACATGGACAGTGACCTGAAGATTCTCAAAGGTATGTATCAGAGCTCAGATGTACAATGTAGTCCACTGGGAAGGACACAGATTATTTTGTTCCACCAGTCAAAGCACACAGCCTCAATGTATTCTCCTTCCAAAATATCCTCCAAAGATCAGGGTATATCATCATTATCAGGATATACCATCTCATCTTGTGAAGTCCTTTCAAACCTGCTAACTGGTGTTCTCAATCTCCAAACTCCCAGAACATCCTGATTTCACTACACTTGGACTCACTGACTTTCCTTTTAATAAAGTTACAAAGACATTTCTTAGCTCCATTTCTTCTCAGGCTCTCTGACACATTTAAATCTGAAAGTGCTTTTCATGAGTAAATGCACCCATGCGTCGCTGGCCCTGACTTCAGAACTTCTTCATTCTTCTCCTGCCTCTTATAAGATCTCCTGCTGGCTCTGTTCTTTCATCCACTGAGTAGCTATAAGAGTCACTCCTCTTCAAAATGGTCTTCCTTCCATTTCAAATGTGACATGCCTTCCACATCTAAATCCTGGATCAATCACTCACCCTCTCTCCACAGCCATTATCCTAGGTATTTGCAAGAGTTCTGTGGTAACTTGTCTCCAAAGATCAAACAAATCTCCCTTCCCTCCAGGGTGAAGTAGCTCTTGGGATCCACGCTCTTGATAGTCACTTCCCTTTCAATCTGGTCTAATTTGTTATTAAGTGGAAGAATTGTTCACTGCTGTAAAAATCTCCAAGGCTGAGGGTCTGAAGCATCTTGGTTTCTGAGGAAGAACATTCTTAGAGGATCCACTGTGTCATGAGAAACTCAAGACTCATGGCAACCTGCTTGACATTTCCGTGTGTGCTTCTGGCTAACAGCAAGCATCAAATGCTAACCGTGGCTGTAAGGCCAGGAGCTCTGTCAGATTTTGCCAGCCTCAGCTACCAACTGGCTGAAATTACTTTGAGATCTTGAGAAAGAACTGCTCATCTGAGCCCCATCAACCCTTAAAACTCATGAGATAATAATAGTAAAATAATAATGATTAATAATAATAATAATAATTGTGTTCTACATTACTATGCTTTGTTATGGTTCTTTATAGCATAATGGGTATATCATATATCATATCATATCATATTGTCCTTCCAAATAACTTTCCCAATAGAGATGTATTTCCTGGTTAAAGAGAAAGAACCCAGTCTTTCTAGCTAAAGACATTGACACAATTATGTTTCTTTCCTTTTCTGTGCTAAGCCATCCATCAGAATATAGTCTCCATCATTCTAGAACCTGAAGCTTGTATTCTCAGCATGATTGCTTCTTCAGATACTGACTCAACAAATACTTCAGGAATAAATTACCAAAGAGCTGAATTATTATGGATTATAAAATTAATTTCTAAATATATGTCAGAGGGTCTTCGTAGTAGCTTTTCTTAGCAATTCAATGATAGAAGAAGAATGGCTGCTGTTGAACACATAGGTGCCAGATGCTACACTTATAATCATCTTAACTCTCATAGTAACACCGACATGCTTCATAATTCACTTTTTGTAAAAGGAGTAAACCAGTGTTGAGTAGTCAAATTCCTCATCAAGCATCCCATTTAAACACTTGCATTCAAGACTCTCCTGCTTTTAAACCTTTTTGGCATTTTTCAAATGAAATTTGCTTTCATTTTTTGGCGTTTCTCTTCTCCCTTTGCCTTCTCCCTCCCTCATGAAAATTCACAGTAGGACATCCTGGCTAATGGTACTTGGGGAGCTATGGTCCATCTTCAGATCTAACCTAAAATCCAAGAGCCATTGACTAGGGAAAAAGACATTCTCAGACAGAGATCCTCCAGCTCCTAAAGCTTCTTCAATTGCTAAGTCAGGATATCTGATAATAGAATTTTAGTTCTGACATGACATTTACTAGAGGAGGATTAGTAATTGTTTGTAACTAGCAATCCATGTAATGAATGGAGTTGTTGTTAAAGAAATAGTAGTAACAATAGCAATAAAAGTTAAGATGCTAAAGTTGTAAACAGTAAAGAAGGTTTACAAAACTCTGTTCACTTTATATTGTGTTCATTAGTGTGACGTAATAAAATTCTCCAAATTCCTTTTCTGCCTATATGGTAACATGAATTCTAGTAACTTGGTGTATCCTTCATTGCTTTTGGAAATAAATGGAATAAACATTAAAGTGTACTTTGAAGATAGCAGAAAATTAGGGAATTGGATTTAGTGCTAATTTGTTCAAAGAAGTTTAAAATATTTTTTAAATACTATCAAAATCCCTTAAACCCACCTTCAATGTTACAATAAATTCCAGTTCCCTTTTCTCCCTTCTGCCTGGGAAAGCCTCAGCTGCCCAGGACTCTGGGTCAGTTTGGAAATCTCTAAAACCACTCTCGCAAAGCCCAAAACCTTTCTCTCCCTCTGCTCCAGGCAGCCCAGCCGGGGAAGTCTCCCAGTTCTGCAGCGGCAGCCCAGCGGGCGGAGCCCGACCTTTGGAACAGGCACAGACCTCACTTTCGTTCCGCTGCTGACAGCACTGAACGGTGTAAACTCAAGTCTCCTTCACAGCTATTCATGCAGCTCGGCTTCTGCCCTGTAGACATTCCCAAGCAGATGTGTGAGTGCCCAGAGACAATTAAATTATGACTCATCCTCCAGAACGCCTGCTAAGGCAGGCTGCCTGGCTACCAGTGAAAACATTTCAGCAGTAGCTGATCTTTTCCGTTGGTTGAGGACCAAGTCAGACTAGGCATGGCTTTGAAGTTATTTCTGTCTCGGTGGATTAGAGGTATCAAAAGAAGCAGCTCCGCAAACCTTCCAACAAATATTTACAGTTCTGCACTAAACAACCTGCACTATGCTTTAACCTTTACTGCCTCGTGAAACGCTTGCCAGCCTTCTCCAAACTCAGGCACTTGCCAGAATTAGGAGAGAGGGCAGAAGCCCAAAGGAAAGGAAGTGCAGAACACCAAGGCATCCCTTCTTGCTGTGGAGGAAAACATCGTCTTTCCATGCTAACCTGGTCGCAGAGGTGATTTCCCCTTCCACTGTCCCTCCATCCCACAGTGCCCAGGGCAGACAGGCCTCTGCCCCTCAGCGATATTTCTCTGGATCAGAGGGACACTGGCTGCCCTGAAGCCAACGTTTCTTAAAAGTGCCAAAGGGTGGCTCCGAGCCAGCCAGGAAGGACATCAAATGACGGCAAACACTGAGTGTGTGAACACTGACTTTTTTCAGCCCCTGGGACACCGCACAATGTGCAACCTCTCTCCGTGAAGGTTGGTAACTGGAAATGCTCATCATTGTTTGCTTCTAAAATGATGAAGGAATTAGTTGAATGGATGCCTTTAGCCATCCTTTTCTATTTTTAATATTCCACATTGTGAACACAAAGATCTCAAAGTAATATCCACAGAGAATAAAAGGATGAGAGAAAGAATTTAGAAGGTGAACTATCGCAGTCAGTGGGCTGAGAACATCCAGTCCCTTACTTCTGTCTGTTTCAACCCCCAGGAGCCCGCTATCCCCAGAGGAGGAATCGAGCCCTCACAACTGCAATAAAGGAGACCCCCAAAAGCAGGTCCACCAATGGGCACTCACTCCAGGGACGTTTGCTTAGCAACAGAAAAGTCACAAAGTCAGGCAGGGCTGGGGAGTCACAGATACCATACCGGGACATAACAACCAGTAGGGCTTTTCTAAGTCCGTACATGGCATCCAGGGACCTTCAGAACTTCCGGTGTGAGTCTGAATCCCCAGAACAATAACAGAGACAAGAGCCAACAGTACAGGTCACACTGCTAACTTACCGTCTTCTGTTACCTCACACTGGTGAGACCCAGAAGCACAGACTAGAAGTAGATGAACTCGGTGATTTGGTGACAATGGTCTCGAGTGCTTTATTCATTGTTCATTCATTCACGTATTTATTCATTCATTCATTCAGCTAATGTTTATATGTCTATGTAATAGGCTAAGTACAAAATAAATTATTGTTTTATTATTCATTTATTAAATTAGTATATTAATGATATATAATCATATTATTATAGTTAATGCGATCAATTATGCTAATTAATTATAATTAATATAACTAATTTATTAATATATTTAATGGTTAAATTATTAGTTAAGTTGAGCATAGTCTTCCTTTTACCCTAATCACTAAGTGCACAAGTATCCATGATGTAGGTTAGAAATAGATGTTTGGTCATATTATTGCAGATAAAGTCCACACTAGTCACACAGAGAAAACATTTCAGATAATAAAATTAGATTCTTTAGGATAGGACAGCTATTGGAGTAATCTCTGTATCATGCCATTTACCTATGATCTGGACATAGTATGGATTTTAGTATGTGTTTCTCATTTGATGTTGTTCTTGCTGGTTGTATTTCTATTTTTGTTTATCTTATTACCTCTCCCCTCTCCTGGACAATATTTGATAATCATTCCTATTGTATATAGTTTTGTATTAGGTTAGAACTTTCTTATTTAGACAAAAGGAGGAGATGCAGTGGATACCTGTTCAATCTATAACCTTGAAGCTCTGCCCCTAGATTTGTAGCAGGTAACTGTCCTACCTACCTATGGCCTTGAAGTACCTGCCCTTGGGGCATGGCTCAGGGGACCTGAGACACATGTAGGCCACTTCCTCTCTCCCTTGAGGGCTTGGATGCTGGGACGGACTCAGGCAGAAGAACAACATGGGACTCTACCTGGGACTTCCAGGACCCATGCTATAGGGAGTCTTCCTCCCTAATAAACCCCTTAGGGTTTAGAACTCATAACATTTTCTTTAACTTCAGAATTCAGAAACCTAAAAAGGACTTAGAACCAAATGTGATAACATTTTCTGTTTTTAGGGCCGGGCAGCAGTGGCGCATGCCTTTAATCCCAGTACTTGGGAGGCAGAGCCAGGCAGATCTCTATGAGTTCGAGGACCAGCCTGGTCTACAGAGTGAAATCCAGGACAGGCACCAAAGCTACACAGAGAAACACTGTCTCAAGAGACCAAAAAATTTATTTAGAACACACATCTCAATTTTAGCAAAATATTTTAGGGAAAACATACACTAGCAAAATGAAGAGAAATAAATACATTGACTATACCATTCAAAGACAATCTGTTTTAATAAAGAAATGACAGTGCCATATAAATACCACAATTCTTTCAAGTTATATCCTTTTGTACATTTAGATTGATTTCAACCTTTCAATTTTAAAAGCACAGTTTTAAGGTTGGTCTCTAATACTTGCTTAAATTTTCAATTATTCCCTTAGGGGAAAAATTAGAGAAGGCTAATTCTTCAGCCCAAAGACAGGCATATTTTCAAGGTTTTTGATGAATATTGACAAATTTTCCAAAAATCATAAGACAGTTCAGTATCCTTCCTTGAACAAATGAAAGTGATTATTTCTTAAAAATCAAGTATAATTATTTTATTTGCTAATGAAGATTTCTTTAATTTGTTCTTAATCATTGATATTGAACATTTTATATACATAAAATTTGTGACTTTTTTCCTTTTTTAATTATTTTACCTTGTACATGAAAATTACACACCTGAAATTTTTCACTTTTAGCAATTATATTGCTGCATTATATGTGTGTGTGTGTGTGTATAATTAAATATTTTTGAGACAGGGTCGCATGTAGCCCAGGCTAACCTTCACCTCCCAAGTGCTTCCTTGTCCTGCAAAATACACATTTTACTACCTGTTTATGTTTTCTTTATTGCAGTGCACTGGTGTAGAGAAATGAAACTTAGTCAAAGTCTATCTACCTTTCTGTTTGCACAATTCTGGATTGGCATCAAAGTTTAAAAACTATAGCAACCTGCAGATGATAATGAGATTGGGCAAACCTTGTCACACTGTAGTTAGGGATTTGGCACATCTATAGCCTTAGTCTCCCTGGAAGTTGGTTTGTATTATGGTGATGGAGGAGTGGTTTTCCCCCTGTATATTCTGCAAGCAACTATCCAGCTGTCCCGACACCACTTAACAAAACTCCCATTCCTTTCCACTGTTTCCCCCACTCAATTACATACCCATTTTTATAGGCAAAATGAGTCTGCTCTAGGCTTTCTATTTTGTCTTTTATCGAGATTGTATGCCTTGGCTGGTCCTGGGCTTTTATCACATCCTGTAAAGGTTGCTATGATGAGGTCCTCATGGCTTATTTTGTTTGGTTGTTTGTCTCCTACATTTGTGTTTAACATTTATCAATATTGTTGTGAAAACATTCAACCATATATAAAAGCATTTAGAATAAAAACATAAGCACCCATAGATCTATCACCCAGCTTATGGCTTCTCAGTATCAGCCAAACAATGGCTGTCTTTGTATATATCCCCATCTACCTCTCCACAAAGAGAGATGACAGCTGCCCTGTCACTGTCCCAGGTGTTCGTCACCCTCGGCACACCGATTACATATGCACGCATTTCTTGACAATACCCGCTATTAACATTTTTGGAAAATTTTATTGACATCGTGGTGTTAATACTGTTTCCTGTTTTTATTGCTTTTGCCTGCCATTATGTCTGTGAAATTTATATGATTGATATATGTAGTTCTAGTGCCTTCATTCATTGCATCAGAATAGCCCATTCAATAAGGGGATGTAGCATTGACGATACTCTTGTGTGTCTTTGTAAACCTGTGTAGAGGTTCCTTAAGAACACATCCTTGTGAGCAGAAGTGTTGGATTATGAACGTAACACTCCTTTGACCATAGGTGGTGTCTAGTTGCTCCCTAGAGCATCCAAACATTTACTTTCTAAGTTTCCACTACTCCACAATCTCAGCTTTCATGTGTTTAAGTTCTTCAACTTTCTCCAACCTGACCAATTCATTTTTTTCTAAATGAATTTTTTTAAATTGTCAAGTTTTAAAATATTTTCATTGAGCTTTTCAGTAGAATTTTTTCAACTTCAGATATTAATTCAAAAGAATCAGCATCTATTTACTATGAACTCTTCTCATTTCAGAATGTGACCTTTCTGAAACTTCTGCCTCATCACAAAGTTTTGCACCTTTTCATAGTCATGAACAATTCTTAAGCTAATTCATATGCATTGCATATTTTCTTGCTATTGTGAATTAACTTTTTTCAAAAGGGAATTTTTTAAAACCAAAAATTTACTTTATTCTTTTATTGACATTGAATTTAAGCAGATTAGTTCCCCCAAAAGATGAAAAATATGTTAAGAACAAATAACTGCACACATCCATAGCATTACCTAAAATGTCAAATGAAAGGTCAGCACTAAAATTAAATTTCAGCACCATTATAAACACTGCTGGTCCCTTTCATTTGATCCAAACCACTCCTCAGTTCTGGCTTTTTCTAAGCCTCTTTTCAGTGGCCCTTCCTGACAGATTGGTCACATGAACTGATCTAGAATATAGAACAATGTGCAAAACGTAGGTTATTAGAAACAATCCTCCTCAGGCTTTTGGTACCACCTTGTAATATCTTAACAAGTTTCCCCAGTAGCTAGATAGATGTTGATAAGCCCTCATTTTGAGCCATAAGCTCAAAACTCACTTCTGACCCCAGCGGAATACCTTCCTGTCTTAGCATTCGCCTGGCCATCAATGTAAGTTATCAACCACCTATGAAGAGTCAAGGACTATTTTCAATACTGCTAAATACAGCAAAAAGTATGAAAAGACCCCATGACATTGTTCTTGCTGTCAAGAAACACGTAGCTTTGCTGGAAAGATGGCTAATGAGCATGGAGAATTAAAGAGTTTAGTAGATACAAAGAATAGTCTCATTTTTGTATTACTCACAGTTATACAAGAAATTGATAGATACTAGATAGATGATAGAAAAGAGATAGACAGACAGACAGATGATAGATAGATAGATAGATAGATAGATAGATAGATAGATAGATAGATAGATAGAT